AATCTTATAATGCTATTAGCAAGTAACAAAAATTTTGCTATAAATCTCTTATAAATTTATTGCCAAATTTTTAAATTAATTAAATAACCAAACGAAAATAAAATCAAAATAACAATTTAAGTGATGCTGATACTGAAACAGAGTCCAAAGATTCTAATAATTCAAAATTAGGATGTTTGCAAACAGGTGTTTGGAAATTTTTTGAAAGAGGTCAATCTAAAGGTGATGGTTATTGGGAAGGAACTTGTTCATTTTGTGAACATTTTTATTCACAGGCCAAACCACAAACTCTGCAAGCACATCTTGCTAATAGTTGTAAAAAAGTTTTTGAAGAGTGGCAGTGAAATTTTAATAATATTATAGTTAATAATTTAGAAGATATTCCAACTGATAAACCTATATCAAATGCTAGTTCATCTTTAGTTAAACAAAAAAAAATAGCCAAACAACCTGGGTTAACTAATTGGTATGATTCTACAAAAATTGAAGCATCTATGTAATCATTAATTGATGAAGCTATTTTATTAGCTTTTGTTATGTGTGGTATTCCTTTTCGTATTGTCAACAATCCTTTTTTTACAAGTGCTTTAAAGCTTCTAAATCCTGGTTATAATATTCCATCATGTGAGGTTCTCTCAGGATGCTTATTAGATTCAGAAATTGCAAAAGTTATTCACAAAGTTGATGGAATTTTAGAACATACAAACAACCTTACTATTGGTCTTGATGGTTGGACTGCTTCTAATGGGTTATCAATTTGGAATTTCATTATTATGATACTATTATGGCAAGAATATCTCTATGAACTTGGAAATTATTCTGATCAATCTCATATAGCAGAATTTCTGGCAAGCCAAATTGAATTAATTATAAATCATATTGGTAAAGATAAAATTTTAGCAATAATCAGTGATAATGGAGCTAATGTAGCATCTGCATGCAATATAATTTGCTCAAAATATAAAAATATTATAAATATTCATTGCATTGCTCATTATTTTAACCTAATTAGTAAAGATATTATTAAACATATGTTTGCAGAAAGAATGATTCAACGTACTAATAAAATAGTAACATTTTTTAAAAAATCTCATAAAGCTGGAGCTATATTAAAAGAAAAAGTTATATAACATCAAATTAGTGGTGGTGGTCTTAAAACATATATAGAAACAAGATGGACAACCATATATGAATGTGTCTTCTCAATTGTGTGACTTAAGATTTGCTTAGAAGAAATTCAAGAAAATCACTCTAAAATTATTAGTCCTGTCATTTTAACAATACTTCGTAGTCAAGGCTTTTTTACTGATTTGCAATATCTTTCAGATGTTTTATTTCCAATCAAAGAGCCAATTTTGGCAGTTGAGGCAAATCATTTTACACTTGCTGACTGTTATATTAATTTAGTAAAAATTGCTGCAGCAATTCAAAATCTTCCTATTGACAAATATAAAGGATTTCACAATGAATGTGTTAAAAAATTTAATAAATGTTTGAAGAATTTAATGATCCTATTTATCAACTTACATATTTTCTTCATTCAGCATATAAAGGTCTTGGATTAAAGTTTGGTACATTTCCTTTTATTGCAAATTATGCTGGAAAATTATAGCAACAAATGGGTAAATCAAAAGAAAGTTGTGAAGCTTTAATAACACAATTATGAATTTACAAAGATCAAAAAGAAAATATAAATGGAAATCTAAATCCTTATACTGCCTCCTATACAATTAGTAAGGATACACTATTAATGTGCTAGAATACATGTGAAGCTAAGCCTAACAATTTACAATGCTTGGCAATTAAACTTTTTTTCATTACACCAAGTTCAGTTCTTTGTGAACAGATGTTTTCAGCATTAGGATGGATTTATGAAAAGCATCGAACTAGATTAAATATAGATCAGTTAGAAGGATTAGCAAAAATTTATCAGTTTAATTTATCAAACCCTATAGAACAACTTCGTCATACTCAAACTGCAGAAATAACTCCTGAAATAATGACAAATATTGCCGAAACTGTTTTTAAAGAGTTTGAAAAAGAAACATTAATAGAAGATGATGATATTGAAATGCTTAATACTGCTGAAAACCTTTATCCAAATGAACAAGATTTAGACTTAAGCATTTCAACTTTTATTGATTTTAAATCTTCAGTTTTTACATTTTCTAATAGTTATGAAAGTGAGAATTTTAATGAAATCGAATCTGATAATGATATACAAGAAGGTAAGTATAATGTTAACAAAATTGTTGTTGCAGAATTAAATTACAGTTCACATTAAATACAAATACAAAAAAAAAGATAATTAGGTAATATAATAGTTCTCTTATGAATTCAAATACAGTATATCATTTTGTGAATTATAGTGATAGTTAAAACCTCTCCTTGATCTTGTAAAAAAAAAACTTATTTTACCCCTCATTCTAAATTGATGTATATATTTTTTTATCTTACTTTGCTTTACTATTATGTTATATGAAATATTCATATTATTTTTTTTTTTTTTTTAATATTAATGGTGAGGCCATGCCTCTATCTTTATTGAATATTTAATTGAGATTTTACATGA